TCACCTCACCTGTGTGTCTCACCTCACCTGTGGGTCTCACCTGTGTGTCTCACCTCACCTGTGTGTCTCACCTCACCTGTGGGTCTCACCTGTGTGTCTTACCTCACCTGTGTGTCTCACCTGTGTGTCTCACCTGTGTGTCTCACCTCACCTGTGTGTCTCACCTGTGTGTCTCACCTGTGTGTCTGGTCTCACCTGTGTGTCTTACCTCACCTGTGTGTCTCACCTGTGTGTCTCACCTGTGTGTCTCACCTCACCTGTGTGTCTCACCTGTGTGTCTCACCTGTGTGTCTTACCTCACCTGTGTGTCTCACCTGTGTGTCTCACCTGTGTGTCTCACCTCACCTGTGTGTCTCACCTGTGTGTCTCACCTCACCTGTGTGACTCACCTGTGGGTCTCACCTGTGTCTCAGGTACCCTGCAGCAGAGCTGATGTGTTTGCGAGTCGTCAGCTGTCGATGGTTGAAAAGAGGAAGTTGATGCGTTTCCTGACTTCCTGTATGGAGGAGACTGAGGAACAGCAAGGTGAGACTAACCTCTGCACCTGATGACATCATCAGGATCTTTCAGAATAAAAGCAGGTGTTTGCTTCTTTCCTCCAGTCTACAATGGCCGACCATATTTGGACTTCCTGCGGGACCAGCAGCTTGGGGACAACCTACAGCACTTCCTGTTGCACTCCATTGCCATGGTAACAGAGGACACACCCACAGAGGAGGGGCTGGCCTCCACGCGTCACTTCTTACGCTGTCTGGGTCGCTATGGCAACACGCCCTTCCTGTTTCCTGTTTACGGCCTGGGAGAGATCCCTCAGTGTTTCTGCAGGTCAGAGCTCACCTGGTTCAGGTTCTGGATTACCTGATCCATGACTTGTTTGTTGCTCCAACACACTCACTGTTTGTGTGTTTGTTTGTTTGTGTGTTTGTTTGTGTGTTTCAGGATGTGTGCTGTGTTTGGAGGGATCTATTGTCTGAGACACTCGGTCCACTGTCTGATCGTGGACAGAGACACCAACAGGTACCTGCTGCTCACACACACCTGTACCAACAGGTAGCTGCTCACACACACCTGTGTCAACAGGTAGCTGCTCACACACACCTGTATCAACAGGTAGCTGCTCACACACACCTGTACCAACAGGTAGCTGCTCACACACACCTGTACCAACAGGTAGCTGCTCACACACACCTGTGTCAACAGGTAGCTGCTCACACACACCTGTACCAACAGGTAGCTGCTCACACACACCTGTACCAACAGGTAGCTGCTCACACACACCTGTACCAACAGGTAGCTGCTCACACACACCTGTATCTACAGGTAGCTGCTCACACACACCTGTGTCAACAGGTAGCTGCTCACACACACCTGCTCCTCAGGACCAGGAGTGTCTTCAGGGACCACAAACTGGTCCTGAAATGATGGTTAGGGTGGGTTTAATCAGGCAGGGGTCTCTGCAGTACACAGGGGGAGTTTCATGTTGTGTGGGCGGAGCTGGGATAATAAGAGAATACTGGTGTGGGCGGGGCTTAGATAATAAGAGAAGACTGGTGTGGGCGGAGCTTGGATAATAAGCGAAGACTGCTGTGGGCGGAGCTTGGATAATAAGCGAAGACTGCTGAGGGCGGAGCTTGGACAATAAGAGAAGACTGCTGTGGGCGGAGCTGGGATAATAAGAGAAGACTGGTGTGGGCGGAGCATGGACAATAAGAGAAGACTGGTGTGGGCGGGGCTTGGATAATAAGAGAAGACTGGTGTGGGCGGGGCTTGGTGAAACCAGGACTGGTCAGATTGACAGGTCAAATGATTGAGAACATGAGTTCTCTGCAGCAGGGTTACCTGTGTCTTCTCTGCTCCTTTCTCAGGTGTAAGGCTGTGATTGACAGCCGAGGACAGCGAATCAGCTGCAGTTATTTTGTGGTACAAGACAGTTTTGTGGGTTCAGACAGGAAGAAGATGACCACGCCCCCCAGGTCAGAACCCACCAATCAGAAACTCAGACTGATGCTCCGCCTCCTCTGTTTCCTCAGGTAATAAAATGTAAAATGTTTCTGTTCAGGTTTCTGAGTCGAGCCGTTCTGATCACAGACTCCTCCCTCCTGCCTGGAGACTCGGATCAGCAGGTAAATCCAGCTGACAGGTGAGGTCCAGGTGTCCTCACCTGGAGGACATCAACACCTGTCTGTGTCTCTGCAGGTGTCCATGGTAACAGTCCCTCCTGCAGCTACCGGTGGTCCGATGGTCCAGGTGGTAGAGTTGTGTTCGTCTACAATGACCTGCATCCCTGGAACCTGTGAGTCTTCATCACCTGCTCCTCTTCCTCACATCTTCATCAGGTCCTGTCAGTGTTTTTATCAGACCACAGGAAGTTCTAACCTCTGACTTCCTGTTAGTGAGGGGGACACGTCTCAGAGGGTCCACTGAGTCATTCAGTCATGTTGACGGTTAGCTCCTCCCATAGATATATAAAGACTAGATAAGTCATCCCTATAGATATATAAAGACTAGATAAGTCATACCTATAGATATATAAAGACTAGATAAGTCATACCTATAGATATATAAAGACTAGATAAGTCATACCTATAGATATATAAAGACTAGATATGTCATACCTATAGATATATATAGACTAGATAAGTCCTACCTATAGATATATATAGACTAGATAAGTCATATCTATAGATATATAAAGACTAGATAAGTAATCCGTAAGGCGGC